CGAATGACACAAGCAAAAACTTAGTTGGATGACCCAGCTACTCAGCTTTATACACACCATGGCCATTGTTATCAGCACTTTCTGCTCCATTTCCCAATCTTCATTTAGTTCCCTTCCCTGTATATCATTGCATTTATTCATGAAAAGCTCTGTGCTCTATTCACAATACACATTCACAATTGGCTCGATCTTCCAGAGAAGACAGATTGAGAAAAGAAAATAATGGCAGGAGCATAATAGCAATAGATGATGTGCTACTGCTATTTACAGTTTTTTCTTGCAGATCACACTAGAAAGTACTTATTTACACGTTACACGATAAGAAAGGATTCCTGAGTGAAATGACTCGCTGATGTATCGGATAACATTGGACCAGTTCTTTGAGCATTGATTGAAACAATTATAGAGTCGTGGTGCAAGATAGAACATACGGAAACAACTCATTCAAAGAATTAATTACAGATGATGCTTGCTCGATTTTATGAAGGTGCAAGTCGGATAGCTTCAGGGTTTGAGCAGCAGATGAGGCCGTTTAATGTCCAGCTACGACGATAAGCAGAAAGGCCTCCGTACTTCACGCAAAAATGCGAACTTTCATCTCTCGACCGCACTGTGCAGGGGCTCCAATGAGCATTTGCGAGTTGTCCACAACTAACAGCTCGTCCGAATTTATGTAGACTTCTTGTTGTTCTTCGCAACAGATCTTGTAGAAAGACTTCAAGCTTCGATAGAACAAGTCAAGATTCTCTGTTGTCATTTGGCTAGATCGATAGTCGTTATTGAACACACCCTGCAGAGTATTCTTATGGAACTATAGCCGTAAATTGATTGAGTGCTTCACTTACCGAAACGATTACATTTCCGTCGATGTTTGCCAGTTTGTGAGATGCTTTAAAGAATGCATGTTGATACTCGATAGGATTTTCGATCATGAATTGGAAATACTGTGGTTGTTCTTCAGCCAGTCGCTTCAAAGCCGTAACTGCGTCGACAAGACTTAAGCGAGCTCCATTGTGCCGCGTTTCTACCGTAACCACCGAGGGAATCTAGAAGTTCGTGGTTAACGATAGTAACGATTGAATCTGAATTAAAACCTAAAGATAGATTTTGACATTGAGCCATGCGAAAGTCAAGACTTAGAGACAGTTACCCAGTTAACCGGAAGGAGGAGTGTATTGCAATCACTAACGAACTTGCGCCATATCAGTCCCTTTGCGGTTTTTGAGGCTAGGTCAGGTCACCTCATTA